TCAGATTTGTAATGTTTTTAAATAAGTTTCTTATGCTAATCAAGGCTGCATTTATTTAATCAATAATACAGAAAAAAAACTGTAATATTGTGAAATATTATTGCAATTTAAAATGAGAGTTTTCTATTTTAATATACTTTAAAATATAATTTATTCCTGTGACGCAAATCTGAAATTTTATTAGCTGTTAAGGGCTTTTCACACTGAAAGTGAAAATTCGGCGCGATGACGCTTTTGAATCGGCACATTCTGGCATATTCAAGCCAGTGGTCTTAAACATCAGTTCACAGAAGTTGGCTTTGAAGGACTGTTGAAGGACTGCCTTGAGCAGGCTGCTCTTATGTGCTGTGTGTAGTAAGTCTGGACAGTAATGCTCACAGCTATAGTCTGATGATGCAAATAAATAATCATGTTTATTAAAAACAACTTTTTTTCTGATAGTGTTTTGTGACGCTTTCCTCTAGTCCAGAGGTCCCCAACCACCGGGTCGTGACCCACTACCGGGCCTTGGAAGAATTGCTACCGGGTCGCAAGAACGTTCTGGGAAAGATGTGTATAGATATGACACTCTGTTATTTATTTATGTTAATCATTGTTCTAATTATTCTGTATTTTCTTTGTATGTGATTGATATGGAGTAGCAATTTGACAATTTCATGTTAAATAAGTAAATGAAAGATTGCTCTGATCTGTCACATATTAGGAGTTAAACGGATCGCAGTTGATCCGTAATACGTACGGATGAGACCCTACCGTTCGGCACGCACGTGATTCGCAGATTAATTTGCCAATTTACACGTACAAGCAATTTTAAACCACAAGAAGAAGAAACGAAAGAGAGCTCAATTCATTACTCACGCGCTGTTCTCGCACACAATCAAAGCACGCACAAGCATAGAGACGTGTTTCAGACAGCGCGGAAATACCGAGTTGCGTAGCCTATACATACACACAAAATTAGCCTATGTCAAAAACCCTTCACGGCATTGTCATTCTCTCTGCTTTAAATATTTTTTTTCTTGCTTATCCGAAAAAATAGTCCGATCAGTGTGACTAAAAAAAACAAAACAATATAATGCGTTGAACCACTATATAATGCTATTATAATACTATATAATAGCCTAATATATATTATTATATATTAAGCCAGCCATATATTATTGTTATTATATATTAATCCAGCGTCCAGCCGGTCTGCGAGAATATTTTCCAAACGTAACCGGTCCGTGGTGTAAAAAAAGGTTGGAGACCCCTGCTCTAGTCTACATTCATTTCACATGATTTATGGTTTTCTTTATCTGTAACAGCTCCAGAGAGAGTCTGAGTCCTCAGACTGTCTTGAAGTTGGGTCCAGATCTTCATGAGCTCCTAGTGGACCTACTGTGCCAGTTCAGTCCTCAGCAGGTCATCGCCTTCCTTAAGACCTCTCAGGACTACCGACTGGAGGAGGCCATTCAGGTATAAATCAATGAACCTCATACACATATATTGACTGTTGGTGCCTTATGGTCTGCTGCCTTCATATAGACAGCTGCAGTCTGTGGCATTGAAAGCTCTACAAATCGCCTTCACTTTGTATGTTTCTATCCATAATCAGTCCATTTTTTATTTTAATATTTGAGATAATTTGTTGATGCTTTTAGCTACCAAAAAGAGGCTGGATGATTGTGTACCTGACATTTTTCATTGTGTTTTTGTGGCTTGAATAAATTCTATGTGTTATATGTAGAAAGAACATACAGTCAGGTCCATATATATTTGGACACTAACATGATTTTAATAATTTTGGCTCTGTACCACCAGAATAGCATTAAAATGAAACAATCAAGATGAAATTGAAGTGCAGACTTTAAGCTTTAATTCAAGGGGTTGAACAAAAATATAACATAAAAAGCTTAGGAATTACAACCATTTTTATACACAGTCCCCCCATTTTCTATCCAATTCCTATACAATGTAATTGGACAAATAAATATAATCATAAGAAACATTTTCATTTTTAATATTTTGTTGAGAATCCTTTGCAGGCAATGACTGCCTTAAGTCTGGAACTCATGGACATCAGAGACTGGGTTTCCTCCTTTGTGATGCTTTGCCAGGCCTTCACTGCAGCTGACTTCAGTTATTGTTTGTTTATGGGTCTTTCTGCCTTTAGTTTTGTCTTCAGCAACTGAAATGCATGCTCAATCAGGTTGAAATCAGGAGATTGACTTGGGCATTGCAGAATAATCCACTTCAAAAACTCCTGGGTTGCGTTTGCTGTATGTTTTGGGTCATCGTCCATTTGTACTATGAAGCGCTGCCCCAATCAACTTTGCTCCATTTGGCTGAATCTGGCCAGAGAGTATATCTCTATACACTTCAGAATTCATCCGGTTGCTTCTGTCCTCTGTCACGTCATCAATAAACACCAGTAACCCACTGGAAGCCATGCATGCTCATGCCATCACACTGCTCCTCCATATTTCACAGATGAAGTTGTATGCTTTGAATCATGAGCTGTTCCAAGCCTTTTCCATACTTTTTTCTTCCCGTCATTGTGGTACAGGTTGATCTTAATTTCAGCCGTCCCAAGAATGCTTTTCCAGAAGTGGTCTGGCTTTTTTAGATGTATTTTGGCAAAGTCTAATCTGGCCTTGTTTGCACCTTGTGGTGAACCCTCTGTATTTGCTCTGGTGAAGACTTCTCTTGATTGTAGACTTTGATAGTGACCTCCTGGAGAGTGTTCTTCCCTTGGCTGGATGTTGTGAAAGGGTTTTTCTTTCCCATGGAGAGGATCCTCTGATCATCCACAACTGTGGTCCTCCGTGGACGTCTAGGCCTTTTTATGTTGCTGAGCTCACTAGTGCGTTCTTTTTTTCTCAGAATGCACCAAACTGTTGATTTGACCACTCCTAATGTTCCTGCTATCTCTCTGATGGATTTGTTTTGATTTTGAAGCCTAACAATTGTCTGTTTCACCTGCATAGAGAGATCCTTTGACCGCATGATGTGGGTTTACATCAACAGCTTCCAAATGTAAATGGCACACTAAGAATCAACTCCAGACCCTTTACCTGCTTAATTGATGTAGAAATAACGAAGGAATAGCCCACGACTGTCTATAAAACAGCTTTTGAGTCAATTGTCCAATTACTTATGGTCCCTTGAAAAAGTCAGCAGCTGAAATAATAAAAATTGTCCCTGTGTCCAAATATGTATGGATCTAACTGTATTATAGATGGGCTTTAATCTTTCTGTTTGTACAATTTTTTTATGCTGTAGTCACGCTCATTGACATGACTTTGTTCATTTTCCTGTATGGTGCTGTAGATTCACTGTTTTGAACTGCGGTCTTGAACTTGAGAATGCAAGTACAGAATTATGCATCCGGTGTTCAATACCTGTGAGTTTTCCTTATCCTGATGTGGCCGTTCTCGTCAGGTGTAGGACCAGCTTTACATGTTTTTTTGAGAGCTAATATGAGGGCTCACAAATGTTTTGTATATTATTGAGAAGCTCAAATGAGTTTTGTCAGCATGTACTGAAAAGCATATTTTGCATACAGGCTCGGACACATTGCACCTGCTGACTGTTTATTTTGCACACATTTTCTGTGTTGTTTTCGATCCCAGTTCATTAAAGAAATTCTACGAATCAGCTTAAATGTGCATGTAAATATATGCTAAACACAAATTGCATAATGCATCTGGATCGGCTCTTTAAAATTGTGAAAAGTGATGATATGCCCAGTTATAACACTCTTCCACATCATTTAATAAACTAATGCAGTGTATTTTACAGGGCTCCCATAATAAAACCTGCAAATATCTGGGAATAAAATTTTTAAAAAATTGTTATAAGAAAAAAAGGAAAAGGCATGAAATGTAATAAAATGCTAAAAGTCAAAAAAATGTCATGGAATTTTATATAATGAATGGCAATTTTTCAGGTTATTCTCCGTATGGAGTCTCAGAATGTCAATTTAAATCTCTTCAGCTAAAATATTATATTTTCAGAATATTTCAGCTGTTTTTGTCAGTGCAATAAAGGGTGAGAACATTCAATTTGAGTAGCGTAATGCTAATTGCCTCAGACAGATAGCCTAGTTTGTGAATAAGGCACTATATATAATGAGCCTAATTTACATAAAATGAAGTTGTGTTTACGCTGAAAGTGAAAGATTGAGAATGACTTCAATACTCAGGGTGCTTTTTGGTGTGATTTCACCACGTTTGGCGTCTTGGTAAACTGGATTGCAGGCTATTAGTAAATAAGACAGTTTTTGCACTGAAATGCAGATGATTACTGAATTCACTTCTCATACTACAGGTTTGGCATAACAAGCTGACGATTAGGAGACCACACACTGTCTAATCAATCAACCTGAAACCACTGATAGAGCAAGTAAAGGTTGCCAATCTGATGTAATTAGAGTGCCGGTTGACAGGCTCAGGCAGAAAGATGCCTGGAGGAAGGAATGAATGAGAGAATAATAGAGGGAGGGGAGATATCTGCTGTGCTGAAGCGCTGAGGCAGTCAGACAGGCAGAAGAGAGAATCAATACTGTTACAGAGGAAGAGTGGCACCTGCTAAATATTTGAACAGACACCTTGCACACACACATGCATATACAGCAGCTCTAAAGTCCTGCCATCTTGCCTTTTTCTTGTTTCACTGCTCTCTGTGTATGTCTCCATATCTAGATCCATCTGCTTGCTGCTGTGTTTCTGTCAGTCTGTATTGCCCTGTTTTTGTATTCATGGATTCAGCTGTATTCATGGATGCTGGTTCGTGTGTCTCTGCCTTCCGCATAACCCTCTTTTTACTTTAGTTTCAGAATGTTTGAATGTTTCATTATGGAAATGGTCTCTCACAAACAAACAATCTCACCTAAACACGCTCTCAGTCTGAGACTGTTCATCCAGTGGGCGGCTTGGAGTGGATCGTTTGTCTTGATAATCTTGACAATTTGACTGCAACACAATTGACAGGCTTATCTCTGTCTTGTCTAATCACAGATCACAGCGAAACACAAGCTGCATGAGGCCACAGCCTACCTGCTGGAGAAGAAGGGAGATGTGCAGGGAGCTTTTGAAGTGCTGCTACAGGTTTGAGCTCATCACACCACATAAATCTGCAGTAGATTCAGAAACTGGGCAAGAGGATCCATGCTTGCTTTAAAGGGATAGTTCACCCAAAATAAAAAGTATCCCATGATTTATTGTAGGTGTAAATGACTTTCTTCTTTCAGACAAATACAATCAGAGTTATATTAAAAAATGCCCTGGCTCTTCTAAGCTTTATAATGGCTGTGAATGAGTGTTGAGATTTTGTCCAAGTCCAATAAAGTGCATCCATCCATTATAAAAAAAAGTACTCCAGACGGCTACAGGGGGAAATAAATGCATTCATTCATTCAATAAATGCACTTAATTGGACTTCAAAATCTTAACAGCCATTCACTGCCTTTATAAAGCTTGGCAGATCCAGGACATTTTTAAATATAACTCTAATATGTATTATTATTACATAATCGGGTCTCTATCTAACCCAGATGGGTTTCTAAACTGGCACAATAGTATAAAACTGCCCTGATATTTTATTAACAAGTACATCGTAATAAAATAAAGTATGTTTTGATTTCTGTTGGAACTTTGAAGGCCATTTTAAGCAACTGCTTCCCCACCATCATCACTTACATTCCAGGTACATTCAGCATCTGGCTCATATTGGGGATTGGGAGCCTTTTGAAATGTTACTCTCAAAACATTTTCATTTTCATCATCTTCAGAATCTGTAATTTGTTCGCCGACAGCTTTGTCATCAGATCCACCATTAAATTATGCTAATATTTGATTACCAACTTGCTCTGCAGTAAATCGCTGAGCCATGTCAAGATTTGCTGATGATACTTGAGTATTCTCTTTTATGTCTGTGGTCATTTTTATGAGTGACACATCATTGTTTATCAGACATCACCACGTTGAGATATTCAACATTGTTGCAAAGAAAAAAATATACACCTACACATTTACATACATTGGGTTACTATAGCGATCCTATAAAATTAAAAAAAGAGGACAATTTTACATTTTGTATGTTTTTCTTGTCATATTGTTGATAATGAATAGACTGAGGAATACTAAGGTGGAGCTGTAACTTCAGAAAATCAATGATAGGGAAGGTAGAGGATGACGTCCCAAGTTATACAGTAGGTATAAAATATTTGGCTTTTTGATGAGATGCCCACAGGGGATGTGAGTAAGAACAAACATATCCTTTGCTGTGACTAAACAATAGAGTCCCCCAAGGTGGTAAGCTTATTCCCACTTCACTTGCCTTTATTAATCCATGAGTGTTTCACCAGACATGAATGCAAAGTTAAACTGGTCACTGGTCTGATCCTACATGGAGAGGCTGCTTAATAGAAGTTGACGATGAAACCCAGGCAGTACGGTGATAGGACTGTGACCTCTATCTTGACAGTGCAGCTCTCTCTGGACCAGTACAACTCCAGACTGGTGACCTAACATTGATGGAAACTTGAGTCGAGAGTGTCAGCAGTTTCTGAGAATAACCATCACAGAGAAGTTAACCTGGTCTTGTCACTAGAGCGTTGTGGTCAGAATAGCATGTCAGCGGATTTTCTGCACAAATTAGAGAAGTTTGGCATGCCATCACATCCTGGTCAGCATCTGTAAGTATATGTGTCCTAACTAGGCATATCAGAGCCTGGTGTGGGAGCTGCACTGTCCTGAAGTACAAAGTGCTAGGGAGAGTGGTCCGGTCAGCAGATCTTATTACAGGCACTTAAACATCACGGACAGGATGTTTACAAATGAAGACCAGGACTATCCTCGCTTTATATCACGGAAATAGAATTTCACTGATACTGTCTGGCAAATGTTATCAGATCATCTACTTAAAAACCACCACAATACTTTGTAACAGATTTTAGCCCCATGTAGTCGCCATTCACTGAGAATCACCATGTTGTATGATCTTATATTAATGTGTAAGTACCGCTGTAATGCTCAGCCTTATCGGTCGAATTACATGCATTTAAAATGTTTTTTAAATCCATGTAATATTGTTTATACTGGTCTACTTCCATTAATCACATGACAGGCAGACCCATGAACATTTAAAGACATCCACACATTAAAATGATTAAGAGGATTAACATGGCTAAGACAACATGTAAAACCATTAAAACTCAAATATATACAGTGTGTAAAATAAGTATTGAACACGTCATCATTTTTCTCAGTAAATATATTTCTAAAGGTGCTGTTGACATGAAGTGTTTACCAGATGTCGGTAACAACCCAAGTAATCCATACATACAAAGAAAACAAAACAAATAAGTTCAGAAATTAAGTTCTGTGTAATAAAACGGAATGACCCAGGGGGAAAGTATTGAACAGGCTTACTGAAATGTATTTATTACTTTGTACAAAAGCCTTTGTTGTTAATGACAGCTTCAAGACGCCTCCTGTGTGGAGAAACTAGTCGTATGCATTGCTCAGGTGTGATTTTGGCCCATTCTTCCACACAGACTGTCTTCAAATCTTGAGGGTTCTGTGGGCCTCTTCTATGAACTCTGGTCTTTTCCATAGATTTTGTATTGGATTCAAGTCAGAGGATTGGCTGGGCCATTCTAGCAGCTTCATTTTCTTTTTCTGAAACCAAATGAGAGTTTCCTTGGCTGTGTGTTTGGGATCATTGTCTCGCTGAAATGTCCACCCTCATTTCATCTTCATCATCCTGGTAGATGGCAGCAGATTTTTATTAAGAATGTCTCTGTACATTTTTCCATTCATCCTTCCTTCAACTATATGAATTTTGCCAGTGAAACACCATGATGTTTTGGGGAGATGTGCAGTGCCATTTGACCTCCAAACAAGCTTCAACATGCTTTTTCTTCAGCAATGGAGTCTTGCGTGGTTGAGCGTGCATACGGGCCACGGCGGTTGAGTGCATTACTTATTATTTTCTTTGAAACAATTGTACCTGCTAATTCCAGGTCTTTCTGAAGCTGTCCACAAGTGGTCCTTGGCTCTTAAAAAAATCTTGCGAGGAGCACCTGGTCGTGGCCGGTTTATGGTGAAATTATGTTCTTTCCACTTCTGGATTATGGCCCCAGCAGTGCTCACTGGAACATTCAGAAGTAGTGGTAGTGAGGTAGTGAAGGTCTTGAGAAAGCTCTTTGCTTTTACCCATCATGAAATGCATAGCAAGGTTTTTATTTTAATTATATAATAAATAAAAAGAAAAATAGATAGAATAGAGCAATCTAGTGTTATTTAAAACATTTTTTTTTATAGAATTAGAATAGAGAGTGCTAGAGTTAGAGGGTCAAATAAAGATGGAAGAGATGTGTTTTTAGCCGATTCTTGAAGATGGCTAAGGACTCGGATTGAGTAGGTCAGGTAATTCCACCAGGAGGGAACATTTAATTTAAAAGTCAGTGAAAGTGATTTTGTGCCTCTTTGGGATGGAACAATAACATTGTTCCATCCCAAGTTGAACGACGTTCACATTGAACAATTCAATTTTCACTGACTAGGGGCAGGATTGCTTTCTAATTACTGATAGATTTCTGCTGGTGTCTTGGCTTTCCATGCCTTTTTGCACCTCCCTTTCTTCATGTGTTCAATACTTTTTCCCTGTGTCATTCCATTTTATTACACAGAACTTAATTTCTGAACTTATTTGTTTTGAAGATATAAAATCTTCATATATATTGAGCGGTATAAAACATGTGTCTTTGTGTGACAGTGTCACACCGCTACTTCAGAGACCGTATACTCTGCTGGGAGTGCTCTCGCTTCGTAGTAACATATTTGCAAGATGGACCAATCAAATCCACTTCTTGCTCAAAATGCCCATCTTGGTGAAGTAATGAAGTAAACAGTTTGTCTTGAGTAAATGTAAAAGATGAAATGTAAAATAAATAAAAATTTATTTATTACCCTTACTTAATTTAGGAAAGTATTTACACACAATTTCATTTAGTTCATTCAAAATAAATATGTTTAGTTGGGTTAACACAGTTTAGCTGGCTTAGGTCAAGTTATGTTCACCTTAATTACAACACATAAAACAATACTTAATCTCTAACATTCTCTTCTAATGCAGTCCATTGCAAAGCATGCATTCACTTGAAATGACTGAATTTCTCCTCTGAAAATTTGCCAAACAATGATTGTGACATTTCACCTTTTTGTTTTGATATCACCTTTCAGTTTAACTGATTATTTTTTTAACGCCTTTATTGTACTAATGTAAAGTTAATGATCATATTAGCAATAGCAGAATCTGCAGCACTGATTTAGATTTTGTAAAAAAAAACAAAAAAAAACAGTGCATTTCTGCAGAATGGATTTACCCATGTTCCTAAATTGAACTGGGAACACTGCAGTCTTTTTGGTAGCTGAAAGAATGATCAAATTGGACAAAAAAAATTCAGAAACACACATCTGAACTTTTTAAATGAGAACATTCTGATTCAGAGAAAAGATGAGGATTTTGTATGGGCCGCCAGCCTTTTTATTATTATATTTCGAAGGCTCTCAATTTAACATGTTGAGTGCAATAATTATTAAAAATAACACAATTAATCATATTCTCTGGCGTCTGTCCCATGCATATATTCCATAATGAACAATTATAAAACGGATAGTTCCGGACATTGATTCTGATTGGTTGAGCCGCGTTCGAAGCTGTTGTAAATTACTCTTCAAACATACACCTTTGTTTACGTCCATGTGTTGTTCGGCAACAACCTTGTTGCAACCACAACCGTTTCTGAGGAACTACATTGTTTGGTGGAAGAATAATGTTTTTATTAATATCATTACATTTTATATGCTTTGTTTTATTTTGTGAAACCTTGCTACATATATGGAATAACCGTTTTATAAAGCAATAAGCCCCGTGAAGCCGTGGTTTACAGTGAATTTATAACAGCTACTAATGCCAGAGCAAGTCAAGCACACCATTAGTAAGCAGTTGTTCCCGCAGGGCATGTTTTTACATTTAAAAAACAGCTGTAATGTAACAGAATGCCAGCGAGTTTGGGCTTTTTCAAACTTGAATTTCAGCATTGGCGATCATAACTAGAGATGCTGAAAAGTGAGATGCGACATAACAGCTAAAGACTTTCTGGCACATAGCACATTAAACCAATGATTAAAACATATTGCAGATGGAATGCATGAATGAAAATCTACCTTGGACTTATATATTTGTTCACTTATTGATGTGGACTGTAGACCACCAGCTTATACAAAATATATATGCAAAAGTTTGGGGTCAGTAAGAAATTAAGGTCAGACTTTATTTTAAGGTCCAATTCTCGCTATTAACAAGCCATATGACTTTTCCATGACTTTTCCCTTAATAAACCCCTAATTAATAGTTAGAAAGGTAGTTGTTAAGTTTAGGTATTGGGTAGCATTAGGGATGTAGAATATTCATCAAAAAACAAACATACAAACAAATAAATAAAATCACAAAAATATGAAGCTGCAATGTTTTCAACTGATAATAATATATGATAAATATGTTCATGTAGAAAACAGTAATTGTAGTAGTTTTTTCACAACATTACTGTTTTTGTTGTATTTTTAATCAAATAAATACAGCCTTGGTGAGCATAAAACATTTCTTTCAAAAACCATTACAAAAAAATCTTACCGATTCCAAATTTTTGAATGGTAGTATATTTTCAGTATGGATATACATTACAAATTACATTGACAAAGTTGCGTTTTTTTTTTTTTTTTGTCTATTGAGTGTTTTCACCTGCCTTAATAATATATTTGAATTATCTTCATCTGGTGACTGTTTTCAGTATATATTTATGAATATGTAATTAAATGACCCTTCGCAATAACCCACCTCGCCATGGCGCTCTCACACCACACATCATGTTCACACGTCATGCGGTAAAGCGTTCATCACCACAAATGTGCACAGCGCATGATAGAAAACAGAACAACATTGTGGGTATGTGGGTCCATATTTTTTATTATTGTTTTTAATTTGGTGCTAAAATGCACAAGGACACTTGCGTCTTTGCTCTGTGTGTTGCATAAACGCTGCTTTTTGCCGCTCTGATTGCACTCACTATGCACAATTACACTACACGCTAGCTGTCATCCCTTATGTGTGCTTTGTTGAATTAATGAAATTGTCATCAGGCTGAAATGCATGCACAGGTTATTTTACTTCCTGAACAAGTGTGCACCCGAGTCCGAGTTGCTTTCGCAATCATGCAAATTGCGCCACAGTTCCAGGGCAAGCAAACTCAGACCACCTCCTACAGGTATTCTCGGGTTCGGTACCGCTTCCGTTCTGCATGGCAGCTTTCACATTACCATGTTTTCATGTGAACCGTGCCTTGTTTCGAACTAAACTGCCAGTGTGAAAGCACCATCAGACATGGCCAGTTCATTTAGATGGTGTTTCAGAGAACAGTGTCTTAAATATCCCTGGTGAGACAGAAAGGGCTTGTGGAAATGCGCTATCGATCTGTTGATTTCTGCTTCTCAGACCCTGAAGGGCAAACTCCACAAACTTGCCCTGGAAGGCTCAGAGACAGACAAGCCCGATGGTGAGGGGGAGGAGACAGGTGATGAAGTGCCGAGTCTGTTACAAAGAGTGGAGGAAGCTCTGCATGACATCATTGCTTTGTGTCAGAGGAGCTCGCACGGTCTCAACCAGCAGCAGAGAGAGGTGTGTGTGTGCGTGTGCGTGTTGTCCGATCAACCTGGGCTGTGTTTTTCATGAACAGGATGTATTGATCTTCTTATTCCCGGTTTTACATTTCTCTCTCTAACTGTGTGTGTGTGTGTGCATCAATCTTCTGTCACTCTCAGGCTCTGTGGTTTCCTCTCCTCGAGGCGATGATGTCACCACAGAAACTACTCAAAGGAGCCAACACCAAACACACTTCAGAGGGTGAGACAAACACACACAAGCACTAGTTTTGAGTTTATCCACAGTATAGCAGCAGTCCTCAACCTTTGTAACTCCAATGCCCCTATAAGAATAAATATTCAACAATATAAAAAGCCCCTCATTCTCATCCTATGATATTTATTCTCTTACTTCTGAAATGATGACAACGATATTCATTTCCAAATGTTTTAATAACTTAGCATTATAGTGTGCATGGATTAAATGTGACCCTGGACCACAAAACCAGTCATAAGGGTCAATTTCTCTAAATTGAGATTTATACATATAAGCTTTCCATTGATGTATGGTTTGTTAGGATATGACAATATTTGGCCGAGATACAACTATTTGAATATCTGGAATCTGAGGGTGCAAAAAAATCAAAATACTGAGAAAATCGCTTTTAAATCTGTCCAAATGAAGTTCTTAGCAATGTATATTACTAATCAAAAATTAAGTTTTACTGTAGGAAATTTACAATATATCTTCACAGAACATGATCTTTACTTAATATTCTAATGATTTTTGGCATAAAAGAAAAATCAGTAATTTTGACCCACACAATGTATTTTTGGCTATTGCTAAAAATATACCCCAGCGACTTAAGACTGGTTTTGTGGTCCAGGGTCACAAATTAGATTTATACAGCCTTCAAATGGAGTCGGAAATTCTGCAAGAGAATTTGTATTTACAAGTGAGAAGCTCAAAATTCTAGATTAATTTTGCCAAGTTGTTGAGTTGTGATGTTGGAAGAGGCATCTTTTCATATATATATATATATATATTCCATTTTGTATTTCATTTGCCATTTTTTACATAATTTCTTACAAAATAGTGTGGTTATTTCTAATTTTCAAGGTTTGCGGTAGATATAGTGCATTAATAATAAAATCAAAAAAATTAATAAAGATAAAATAATTAGAAAGCAATAGAATACCTCCATATTATTTTTCAACATGAATGCGTAACTTCATTCATAAACTGTAATAATGATGACCCAACTTGGAAGTAGGAGTTTTCCAGGTGCACTTGAAGGCCGAATAAGCTAATGATTGTTCTGTTAACTATTTAATTTTTCTCCAACAATAACTTCTTATTTCTAGTACAGTACCATGAGAAGACTGGATTTTCAGTAGTTTTAGCTTTTTAATGAAGTTTGATAAATACATTAACCAAAATAGAAAATACAAAATTGGCAATAATTAAGTGCTTTAAAGCTTCCTTAAAAATAATTAAAACTGATACAAATAATGTCAAATTGTTTACTAATTTCACAGACTTTAGAGAAGCACTCAGTAAGTCCTGATTGTGTCTCTCTTTCCTCAGCATTAAAAGAGCTCACTATGAAAGTCTTAAACAGCATGTCCAGTTTTATCGCCCCACCTGCCATCATTCAACGCATCCTACAGGTAAGTACATGCTCTTTTTGTTTTTAACAGCTCATGCAGCAACCCTCTACAGACACCTTGGCAATTGAATCGCCATTGGCTAGTAAATTTTTTTAATTTACTCGCCAGACTGAAATACTATATTATATAGATAATTTTAACTGAACTTAGGACTGGTGGTGGTGCTTTTTTTGGTCGTTTAGTGTTCCTGTAAAAAATTGGAAAAAACTAACAATAATACTGATAATATAATAATAATAATAATATTAATATTATACGATTTCTACAAATAAGAACAATATAAAACGTGCTAAGGATTAACAAGCTGCTGGATTCATGAATATTAATCAGGTTGTGTGCGTTCGCTTGAACTGATTCGCTGAAATCAAAACAGGGGCGATAATAGGTGAGCACCAGCCAATGAGATTGCCATTTGCGCATTAGTTCCACCCACTACCGGAGAAAGCGGCAGTTCTTAAAAGCTGAAGAATTCTAAAGGAACTCAGGAAACTACAGGAAAATACAACAAAGAATATCATTTACATGTAGCGCGTCAATTCTGCATGGAATGTAAGACTCGCTGGCTCGCTCGCTCTCACTTTGCACGAGTGAGAGAAAGCGACGGCGAGTTGTGCGCCTTAAGGTTGGGCGATATGCTCAATTTTCAAATTGTCAGCCTGTGAGATGGCCGATAAAACGATATTATCGTGCTAATTTATGTAATTATTTACTTAGTTTCATTGCGGGAAATTGAACCAACTCCAGCGTAAGGCTAAAAGCAGCCTAATGTTTTTAATATGACTGAATTTGTATTTAACATGATAACAAATTAATAGAAACATCGTAAGTTACTAATTATAATGCTTACATTACATTCAAAAAGCAGCTACAGAAAATGAGCAAAGAACATTACATTACCAAAGAACATAATCACAAGCTCAGTCTAGCGTCAGTTTATGCACTTAAAAACACTCCTGTTAAAATCAGTGAATATACACTGTATGATGAATAAATCTCTTATAGTTACATCGCACGTAGATCTGCACTTTGTTATTTATGATGAGAGAATTCGCGAGTCAGAATTCCATCAGCGCACGCTGAACAACGGAACTCCGCTGTTTCAGTGATGACTCATCTGAATGTCTCTGATTGGCCATTGCATTCATAAGCTCAGCATAATCGTGTGTGATTGGTTAAAACTTGCAATACTGTAAAAACGCGGAAAAATAAATATAATGCAACCAATAAGCCCTAATATTAATTAGATAGTATTACTAGCCTGATAATAATAATAATAATCGTCTTGATATCGTCAAAGGCATCAGCCACAGGTGATATCTCTGACTATCGTCGATACACGATACTATCGTCTATCGGCACAACCCTAGTGCACCTTCACACTAGAGTTTACGGTATGCCAAATACACAAACACAGATGCGCTGCGCATCCATTGAGATGAAATGAAAAATAGCACAGATCGCTTGACGGAAAGTGAAACTCTGAAGCGCTCAGTCAGTGTGTTTGGCGAATTAAAATATATCTGTGCTAAACTTATACTCAGCCTCAAACTCACACACTGGCGAGTAAAATCTGAGAATTTATTAGCCAGTGGCTAATATTAGACAACATTCAGTTGCCCGGAGTGAAGATTTAGTCGCATATGCAAGTGATTTACTCGCAATGTAGAGGGTTGTGCAGTTTAGCTTAAAGGGGTCATATGATGCTACATGCACTTTTACAAGTTGTTTGAACTGAAATGTGTCTTGGCAGTGTGTGTACACAACCACCCTATAATGATAAAAATCCACCCAGTGTTTTTTTTTGATGCAGCCTTTAAAAATGTGATTTTTTTTTTTGTCGCTAGCTTTCTCAGAATCCACTGTTAGTTCTCGTATTTGGATTGATGGACACAGTGTAGAAGCTGAACAGCAAATTTGCTTTTCAGCTCAGAGCCTTGTGTAGCTGTTTCAAACACACACACACACACATACACACACACTTTTGCTCTCCATGAGATCGATGCTGCAACTCATGAATCGGTTGAGGCTTTGGGCAGTGGAAGGCCTTTATCTGTTTTCATCTGCTCATATTTAGTGCTGTCAGCTTTCCTCCATCAATCTTCCGTTCTCCTCCTCCTTATCAGTGCTATTACACCAGCACTCTGCTTCAACCTGCTGGCATTAGAACCTCTGTGATTTCTTTTGAATCAGTGCTTATGATTTTTTATTTTTTATTTAGTAGTTTGCAAAGATACACTACTGTTAAAATTTTTTGGTAACAATTTATTACAAACCACTTACTTGCAAACTATTAGTTTATAGTTTAGAATCTGTATTATTAATACAGTAGTAGGATTTATGCAAATAGTAATAATAATAATAATTTATGCATTTAGCAGATAGCAAATAGTGAGTTCTTCTTTCATTTTCACTGTAATACACAAATTATTATTGTTTATTTAGCTCATTTGTAAAGAGCTATAGTTTGAAGAGATAATGTTTTTTTATACTTATCTGATGTGTAGTATTTTAAACCAGTATTAAAGTTGTTGTTAATGGTTATTTGGAGTAAACAGTTCTACTTTTAGATTAGATCATTAAAAAAAACAATTCCTAATATTTAAGTGCCTTTATTATACATTTGTTTGAAATGCTGCCAATACACAAATACATATGACTATTCATAAGATGTTAAAACACATCAGTTACTGTAGAGTTGGGATACAAAGGATGAAAAACAAAGGACGAGATAAAAAAAACATGTGAGCTTATACAATATACATTTTTAAATTACAGTAAAATTCTTGAAAAATGTGTACTTTCAGCAAGGATGCATTAAATTGATCAAAAGTGTCAGTAAAGACATTACTGAACACAAGAATCCTGGTTTTATAAAAATATGAAGCAGTGCAATGGTTTTCAACATTGATAATAATAATAAATGTTTCTTTAGTCGCAAATCGGCATATTAGAATGATTTCTGAAGGATCATCTCACACTGTAGACTGAAGTAATGGCTGTTGAAAATTCAGCTTTGCATCACAGAAATAAATTACATGTTAAAATATATTCACATTGAAAACACTTATTTTAAATTGTGATATTATTTCACAATATTACTGTTTTTACTAAATTTTTTGATCAAATAAATGCAGCCATGGTGAACAGAGCACCTTTTCTTTCAAAAACATTTAAAAATATTACTGATCCCTTACGGACCCAACTTTTGAACGGGACTGTACATCACCAAGAAACACACATTAAAGTGAAAGTAAATCTAAGACAAAACATTTGCTGTCACTATAGTTTTTGACATTGTTCATGTTCATTTTGATTCAGTAATAGTCTCTTTTTTGTGGCCCATGTTGATTCATTAATCTCCCTGCCCCGGCATCTATCTGAGCAGCTCTGGTTCTGCCCGGCTGCTGATGGTGACATTTGATGGCATTTGCTCACAGCGTGTAATCATTAGTGTGCTGCTGTGAATGCAAATGCACCACTGACAAGGAACAGGAAAGGTTAGAAAGAACCCTATCAAGTTATAATAAATGATGGCAATCAATATATTACATAATCAACAGGTGTCATCTTGAATGTGCACTGTGCTTGCTTATTGTTGTTTTTATTATTATTATTATGTAATTGAAGACTTAGAATTGATTTCCAATCTGTTGGTGCTCCACAGAATTATAAGAGAGGGGGACCAAGCTGGTGGCGATGCTGTTTGCAAACGTTCATTGGAGCTATGGTTTTGGGAAGCACCTAATCTTAGAACTATGCTGGTAACGACAGAACTTGCTGCTTCTGATGCTGTTTTTGGAAACGCACCCCTGGTTAGATCTATTAGACTGCGTTGGTAGCCAACCAGATAACCACCTTAAGCTGATATGACCTGGAATGTATGGAATATTTACCTACTGTAGTAATCTGCCAAAGATATTTCTAGAAAACAAGATGGCATGTGAGGATGTAGACTCCTGAGATCATGGCTTTCTGAGTGGAGATCATTCTTACTGTTGATCAGAGAAGCCAAATACTCCCAATGTGGATATTTTCACTCATTTTCCTACATTCATTTGCTATGTATATAAACCCTTTTCACAAGTGAAGTAAAATATAGCAGGGTAAACTTCTTTAGAGGTACATGGGAGACTCTAGCAAATATTATGTTTGTGTTTCCTTTTGCTCCAGCTGCAAATTAGATCATCCACTATTGCATTTACATGGTTTTCCACAAGGAAAAAAAAAGACCTAGAGAAATGCATTACAAGGATGTCAAATATTTGATCACATTGAGTAAGTCTGGTAATGTTGTTTCCATCGGCAAAGCCTCTCTACATTATAACGACAGTATTATCTCTCTTAATAACAGTCTTTTTCATATCTCACACACTGTGATATGTGGGTGGATGGAGTGTAAGGGGGCATTATATTTCTATAAGAGAACCTGTAAATCCCGGTTCTCCAAAGTTCAAAGGGGTGTAAATATAATTGCAATATTGAAATTCATTTTGGTTGTCCATGGATGTTTGGATTTGTTTACAGCTTGTTTACAGGATGTCTGAATAGTGGTAGCTGTTATTTTGGGAGGCTGAATCAACTAGAGTGACATGCATATCTATTAAAGAGTGTAGTCAAGTCAAACATGCTGAAGTAATTAGTAGACCATCTCTCTTCTTTCTGTCTGTCTGTTCCTGAAGCAGTAGTCATGCTGTACAACTCACAGAAGGTTTATAGTGTCTCCCAGTGGCATACTGCATGACCCTTGAGAACCATTTGGGTCAGGGTGAAATAGTTTTGCTGGAAATAAAAAGTGATGTTATTTTAGACAATTATTCTCTTGCAGTGAATTATTTTCTGTGCTAAATTATATTCTTTATATCATTCTGTAAATCTATAACAGTTTATCAAAGATTTAATATTGTAACCATGTAGTAAACATTTGATTAAAGTTAGTATTATGATAATAGTAAAATAACAATAATAATAATAATAATAATTTCCATATTTACTGTGTGAACAGGATTTAAACTTGCATTCAAAAGTTTGACGTAAGAAGTGAAGTTAGTGTACTTTTTCATGCTTGAGATGAAAACTGATATATGTAATATGTGAAGAAAATATTATTGTATTTAATTTCCAGTCAAATTATGTATTATACAAAGAAGTCAGCCATCTCATTCCAAAAATGTACTGCAAATCTATACCACAGGATGGTCTTAAAACATAATACATAATTTGGAATGTGGTGGAAATGGTACTGCGGGGGGAATTACTTAAAGCAGTTCTCCCTTAGTCTTGGTATATACACTGACAAATTAAATAAACTGGTGAGCATGTGAAAATTTTGTTTTAAGAGATATGTGTATTTTGAAAAAATACCCAAACTGCATTTAGAGTGCCTCTGTGCAGCATTAAAAATGTATGTATAAACACTGTATATTTGCCTTTTCATGCACCTTCTATGCAGTTATATTGTTATAGAGTTATCCATCAAAAACTTTCAAATATGATTTAAAACAAAAAATATAAAACCAAATTTGGCTCATTAGTCCCGTATGGGGACCCCTGTGGATTAGAGTGATGTCCCATTTGCCAAGGGTAGTGCCATAGGAGTAGTTGAAGTTTGTGTGGTATATTGTAAAGAGTGAAATTTATTGAGTTTTGTTCGTTTTCATTCTTCTCGTAGAACATATGGGTTTCAAACCTGAACTCCAGGGATTTGGTATTCCAGATGTTTGTGTGAGTGACGGTCTCTCTGGAGGGAAAGCAGTTTTGTCCTTGGGGAATTGGCTCCATTTATCTTGTGTGTGGAGGAGGTAGACTATAACAACAAAGTTTTATGTCCTATTCTCTTCATACAGGATCAATAATGTATCTTATTGGGATCAAAAAAAAATATCAGGATCAATAAAGTATCATATGTTGCTTTAAGAGAACTAACTGACAAAGACAGTATTTTTCATGTTGAGAAAGTGTGAAGAAATAGAGAGTAAGAATAGGAGTGTTGTGATTATAAAATAACGAATGGTCATTATGAATGAATGGCCAGGAGTCTGTTTTCTGTTGCAGGACCTTCATGTTTTTTTGCACCGTTTCTGTCCCTCAGAATGAACAGGATACTGTGTGTGTGTGTGTGTGTGTGTGTGTCTTGCAGGTCTTCATCTTTGTGACTGCATCAATCTGAGCCCCTACCGAGGGCAAAATTACCCATGTGTGTGCAGTCCTGTGATAACGGCTAGTGATGACTGTGTGTGTGTGTGTGTGTGTGTGAGAGATGTTTTTAGGACTGCACTCCTTCATCATCTGAATGCAGTCTGATAGCACGCACTGTTTACTCTCTGATTTGTGCTTAAGTTGGTTTACTGCAGAACATGCCTTTTACTTTTAATTTACTTACAAACTTTGTGCTTTTTTCTGCTAGTGTGATCGAAGCTATGAGAAAATAATTAATCTCGTATATGTGTTCTCTCCTGCAGGACCCTGTGTATGGGAAAGGAAAGCTGGCTGAGATTCAGGGACTCATTTTAGGGATGCTAGAAACCTTCAACTATGAACAGGTAGTGTGTGTGTGTGTGTGTGTGTGTGTGTGTGTGTGTGCACGCATTACGTATATAGCAATTTGACCTCATAAGCTTGTTATTGTTGAATGCTTTCTATTTTGAATGCTTTCTTACACCATTGAGACGCATGTTCATTGTCATTTGTCTTGCATTCTTGTACTGTGTGTGTGTGTGTGTGTGTGTGTGTGGGTGTGGGTGTGGGTGTGGCTTGAAGAATCTGCCAAATGTTAATATATATATATATTTTTAAAGTTTTTATTGTTTTCATCCGGTACGTGACAATATCATACAAAACACAGATTACAGATATATACAAATGCTTCATATAAGGCTAGAATAATTTAAACAAAATAAGAAGGATCATAAAAATTGTCCTGAAAACACTGTCACATAACAGATGTTTACATATATCCCACAAGACAAAATTATAACTTAATAATAATATATTATTAATAATATTAATAAAAACTAATAAAAATTGATTATTATTATTAATAATACGTTTTTATGTTTTGTGATAGTTGTTCATGTGTCCTTGTTTGTCCTGGGCAGTTCAGCTGCCCATTTTTTATCAGCAAAATCCTCCAGGTTCTGCACATTCATTGGTTTCTGCTTCTGCCATTTTAAACCTTTTCCAGCAGTGAATGTTTGATTTTTCACACTGAGGGCAATCGAGAAACTCATTTCAAACTCACAACTATTACAAAATGTGAAAACATTCACTGATGCAACATGGGGAGTGTAAACTTTTTGAATTGGATGATCAGCGTAAATTGTACTTATTTTGTCTTCTGTGAAACATCTATTTTATATAGCTTCTAAAGGGCAGTACTAAATGAAAAAATATGATCTTTAAACAAAATAAGAAACATTTACACATCATCATCCTGTTCAAATGTTCACGTACCTTATTGGCCCCTTATTGTTAATGGCAGCTCCCTTTCACTCACATAAATTATTCACTGCCTATTTTGAATAGCACATTTATACGGCAGCATCGGTAAAAAAAAACTCATCACTGTACCAGGGTGTCACCACAATTTTTTTTAAATTATTTAATTAATTAATTTACTTTGTATTAGGGTGTAGTGCAGGGTTTGTGAGGTGTTGATGCATAGCCAAACTCACAAGATTAATTATTAAATATATCCATATAGTATAGCTTCCCATAATGCATCATTCATGTCTTACTTTCATACTAATTGCACTCTTGCTGGTTTCAGACAGCAGCATAAAAAGATACATCATTTAGCTCTGTTAAATTATAATGAAATCTTCTCTTACTGTTCACGCAGCTGAAGCTACAGCAGCTAAATTCACAGTGTTTTATGTGATAATTGGAATGAGATGTGGAGGTGAGATCCTTTGAAAAAGAATAATTTAAAACCTTTATGCCAATAGCAAGTGTTGAGAATATTTACTGGCACTATTTTGCCCTTTGATAATTAAATTATTTATTTGTTACTTCTGTAAAGACAGACTGACATTTTATTATCACATTTTCCATTGTTATTTTACTTGTTTTAATGATTGTGTGTGCTTATTAAAGCAGTGGTTCCCTTTCAGTCGGTCACACTCGACGTCACGTCAGATGACCGACGAAATTGGGATCTCGCTTAGAGGGACCAATCTACTTTGAGTGTAAACTAAACGAGCCAATGCACATTGGCATGCGATTATTGCATCCAGCTGCTGCTGATCACAGCGTGAGTATAAGTAGGCAGCAGATGCAGCGCATATTCAGCTTTTCGCTTCGGAGCCGAGCGATCACATCGTTCTGCTCCTGACTACTCTACTGAGAGAAGAAGACTGAACGAGTTCAGCGCGCTCTTAGAGAGCTCTTCGTGTTGGCGGACGGCGCTTCAGCGGTGGTGGTTTCCCGTGTCGAGTGGGTTGCACACATCAGGCTGCACTACCCCCTGTTTGTGTTGCAGATGATCATCTCCCCTGTGCGCCTCAGCACGCTAAAAGAGCTTTTTCCCCTAAAAGAGTAATTTCGGGTGCGTCTTTTTAGAGACGACGTTGCAAGGCAAACTTGACGTTACGTCTTTGTAAAGACGATGTGGGTCTTGCTATAGACAACGTATCACCCGGGCGTTTTTGGATGCGGTTGTTACCTGGCGCTGGGTGATGGTCACGATCGCTGCCTCTCGTGCCTGGGCATGAAGCACGCTGACGGTTCTCCACTGACCAAAGCAGACTGAGGCCATCAGGTACATCCTGCCCTGGCGTGCAGCTGCTGCCGTCGCTGAGGGCGGCCCCCCTGCCACCACCGAAACAAGAGCAGCGCTCCTGCGGCCGCCCCGCCCGTCCAGGCCCCCGCCAAACCTGGTGGCAAGCGAGAGAGCAAGAGGCCCGGAGACGGGCGACCCAGAGGTGGAGGGACGTGCTCTTCAGGAGATGGTAAGCACACCACTCCCTCCCCCTGAGGAGGGCCGGGTGGAGAATCTTTTCCACCACTGACCTCTCGGTCGATGGTACCTAAATTCTTGACAAAGAGCAATTCCTCTATTTCTGGGCCCCCAGAGGGGACGGGGGGTTGTGGACGATCTAGTTCATCTCACACTCACCCTCCTCTCTCGTCAGTGAGCAGCAGTGGGCTGATCGGGAGGACGAACCAACGGATTACCCACGCACCCTCTGCTCGAACGCAGGTCAGTGTTACACACACCAGACCCCGCCTCGGACCGGCTACGAGACGCC